ACATATTCTCAGCACTTGCTCTGTGTCAGGCATCTGCTCGGTACTAGGGGTATAAGAATAAATTTGCCCCTGTGGAATTTATAATCAGGGAGGAGGAAGAATGGGGAAACAAACATTAAATAATTCTTCAGTACATGATGACAAGTGTTCTGTGGGAAAGCACAGGCTGTAGGAAGCTGGGGTGGGAGTGGAGGAGGCCAGTCTGGGGCAGGGAATCCAGTGTCAGGGTCACGATCAGAGGCCCTCTGCTGGGCCTCTCCCAAAAGTTCCCCCTCACTCTGGCTCAGAAAGAGAGATTTGTCCTCCTCTGCCCCGGACAGACCAACAGACACTAAAACCCTCTCTTATTCTGGAGCCCTGCATATTCAACAAGTTCTGGAGTTGTGCTTAAGCAGTCCGTGAGGGTTTCCAGCGACCTTAATGGGAACCAATGGAAGAAAGGGGTAGAGATGTAGACCGAAGTAGCCTCGTCGGTGCACCTGGGCCCAGAGAGTCAGGGAGTGTGAAAGGGGCTGCTGGATCAAGGAATGGGGGAAAGTAGGGCACCCCGAGGTCCCTGACCACAGGTTTCCCGGGCTGTTAATTGGTAATTCATAGGTATCAGTGAAATGGCCTTTGTCACAATCTGCAGCCAGTCAGAAGAGTACATGACTTGTTCATGCTTGGACCACAATTCCACACCTGGGGGAGAGACAGAGACTGGACAGAAGCCACAAACCATCACCTGTTACGGCCGTTCATTGTTTAAACATATTCTCAGCACTTGCTCTGTGTCAGGCATCTGCTCGGTACTAGGGGTATAAGAATAAATTTGCCCCTGTGGAATTTATAATCAGGGAGGAGGAAGAATGGGGAAACAAACATTAAATAATTCTTCAGTACATGATGACAAGTGTTCTGTGGGAAAGCACAGGCTGTAGGAAGCTGGGGTGGGAGTGGAGGAGGCCAGTCTGGGGCAGGGAATCCAGTGTCAGGGTCACGATCAGAGGCCCTCTGCTGGGCCTCTCCCAAAAGTTCCCCCTCACTCTGGCTCAGAAAGAGAGATTTGTCCTCCTCTGCCCCGGACAGACCAACAGACACTAAAACCCTCTCTTATTCTGGAGCCCTGCATATTCAACAAGTTCTGGAGTTGTGCTTAAGCCCAACCAGGTCCCTCCCAGCTGTCAAAACCTGGGGCCATCTGAAAAGAGAAATGAATTCTGCCTTCTCCCCCAGTGCAGGCCCTCATCAGCCCCCCACTCAGACTGCTGCAATAGCCTCAAGTTTTCAGAAAGAGAACAGTTAGAGCTACTCTTCGGACTCGATGAATTGTGTCAATCTCCCCCCACATCCCCCTTTCTATGCTGAAGTCCTGACCCGCAGTAACTAGAATGAGACTATTCGGAGATAAGACCTTTAAAAGGGTAATTACAGTAAAATGAGGCCATATGGTCAGGCCCCAATCCAATAGGTCAGGTCTACTGAGAAGAGATTAGGATGGAGACACACAGACTTCGGGGTGAGCCAAGGCGAGAGGCCTCGGAAGAAAGAACAGAAACCTGCCAACACCTCGATCTTGGGTTTCTAACCTCCAGAACTGAGAAAAAAAATGTCTGTTGCTTAAGCCACCCAGTCGATGGCTTTCTGCTGTGGCAACCTGACTAAGGCACCTTCCTTCCTCAATTTGGAGGTGGGGACCGAGGCCGGAATGGGGCGTCAGGAGGGCGCATGAACGGGGCTGGTCAGGAATGGGGCTGAGGCCGGGACCAGGAAGCAGATCTGACTCCCCTCGGCGGGGCCCCATGTCCCTGCCCGGCTCCACCTTGGCTTCCTCCTCTCGGCTGGGAACGCAGAGCGTTCTTCCTGAGCGCGCCTCTGGTGGAAGTTCCCCACACAAACACCTTCAGCAGTGCGGCTCCACCTGCCCAGCAAGATGTGAGCAAACTCCCTGGCTCCTTACCCCAAGCCCTGCAGTGAGGAGCGAAGTCGGTGCTCGGCAAGCACTGACTGCATCAGAATCGCCGTGTGTGTGCGTGTGTGTGTCTGTGTGTGTGTGTCTGCGTGTGTGTGTGTGTCTGCGTGTGTGTCTG